TAGCTTGTTTAAGCCTGTCGAATAATTCTGTGATTAATAGTATAGGGTAAGCATTTTTTATAGTGATTTTATTTAGGCCCCTATAATCAATACAAGGTCTTAAATCGCCCTCCTTCTTCGACACAAAGAAGAACCCTGCCCCTGCCGGAGAAGAGGATCTCCTTATAAATCCCTTTTGTAGAGATTCTTTAATATATTCCTCCATGACACAATTTTCTTGCGGAGACAAAGGATACACCCTGCCTTTGGGAGGTATAGTGCCAGGCAATATATCAATAGCACAATCATAGGGTCTATGAGGCGGTTCATCTCCCTTTTATCGAAGACAGAATTAAGACACATGTACTGAGGAGGTATAACAGTAGACAAAGGAGGAGTAGTAGGAACATTAATAGAATTCAAAGGGGGGATTTTAATTATACAAGACTCTTGGCAGGTTTCACTCCAAGATACTATTTGTCCTGACTCCCAGTCAAAATTGGGATTGTGAGAACGTAACCATGGGTACCCTAACACAATGTGAGAGGAAGGAGAGGTGATGACCTGAAACCGAATGGTTTCTGAGTGTAACATCCCTGTATACATATGCAACGGTTCAGTTTCATGTGTGATAACTGGGGAGCATAATGGTCTACCATCTATGGCCTCAACGGCCATGGGTGTCTTCTTCTCTCTAATGGGTATTTTGTTTTTCCTAACAAATCTAGAGTCTATGAAATTCTCAGCTGCCCCGGAATCAACCAGGGCTAGTATGTTTCTTGCTATGCAATTATTCTCCAGATGCAGAGAAACAGGGAGAAGTAGTCGATTAAGAGGCAATTTTGGGGACTTAGATATCACACCCAAGGCCAGTCCCATATATGAAAAAAAGAGGTAGAGTGTACCCATTAAAATGAAAGAACTATACACCAAAAGGTGAATAAAACGTATAGGATATTTTACCAATATGTAACTCCGACAATGTAGACAATAAGGACTCCTCCCAGTCCTCACAGAAAATACAAGCAAAGAAAGATATCTACAAAAGGGGAGAATGGAACAACTCATAGAGTAGTATTGTAAAAACCAAATAGAATATCGGGTTCAATGTTAAACTCACATAAATCAATTGATTGTAGGCATGTCTAAAATATATGAAGATGATTTCCATTCTCCCCTTTTGTAGATGTCTTTCTTTGCTTTCTTTGCAGTTCTCTATATGGCCTTAGGTGTGCTAGTTTTCCGGAAGCACGGGACATTCTTTTATCATATGACCCTTCTTAACACAGTATAGGCAAATTCCCTCCTTTCTCCTATACAATTTTTCAGCATCAGAGACTTTGGCAACCCCTAATTGCATGGGTTCCTCCTCTGATACCTTGAAACTCTCAGGATTAGCAACTCTAGGAGTATTTAATGTAACAAAACGTCTATTCCTATTCTTAGTATAGAGTCTGTCACGAATCCTATTGTCTATATCAATGAGATAGTCGATAAGGTCCTCTAATGGGATAGGAAGATCCCTAGCTGCTACCTCATGCAATATAGTGGTGATAATGATAAGTGGATGAGACAGCGCTGAACAACTCAAGGCAGCAACCCTTAAAGGGGAATCCCTCTAGATACCCTTAAAACAAGATAAATAAAAGTAACAATAAATAAAAGGCTGCACCACGTAAAATCAATAAATAAAAAGTTGGATAAAAACCAAAATAAGAAGTCCAAATTGTGAGTCCTTACAGATAGTCTTTATGGAAGGCTGATAGGATGGGTGGTCCTTTAAATACAATGGTGGGTCCTCTTATATGAAAGAGAGAAAAGATGGACAACCAATGGTGCAGTATAACAAATCCAAATATGACGTAATGAGAGATAATAATGGAAAACTCACATTTACAAGAGCTTTTGTCCAGCTCTGAGATAAGGCGCACACAGCGGTATAATCCCCGCTTATGGGATATATATGGTGGGATATCTCTCCGTCAGGGATGATCAATTCTCTGAAGGAAGAAGAGACAGCCAATAGTGCTCACTGTATAGTGGTTATGGTATAAATTAAATTAAAACCGTACTTACAAATAAAGAGCAGACGGACTGCTCTATGATGACAGCGTAAGTGGATTGATCCCCACTTAAGGATTTCTTGGGGTACTGTAGTCTTCCAATTTGTTGGTGCAAACCAATAAATGGTTAAAAATAATGATAAAATTATACAGTAAAATAACTATAAATAAAAATAATTAAAATAATTAAAAAGCCAGGGTAAAAAATAAAATAAAAAATGTGTATAAGAGAGATAATTGGCACAAATATATAACCAAATTAACTTTAATATTAATACACAATATAAATATCCATAACGCATTTCGTCACAAAAGACTTTATCATCCAATATAGTATAGAAACATAGAAACATAGAATGTGACGGCAGATAAGAACCATTCGGCCCATCTAGTCTGCCCAATTTTCTAAATACTTTCATTAGTCCCTAGTCTTATCTTATAGTTAGGATAGCCTTATGCCTATCCCACGCATGCTTAAACTCCTTTACTGTGTTAACCTTTACCACTTCAGCTGGAAGGCTATTCCATGCATCCACTACCCTCTCAGTAAAGTAATACTTCCTGATATTATTTTTAAACCTTTGTCCCTCTAATTTAAGACTATGTCCTCTTGTTGTGGTAGTTTTTCTTCTTTTAAATATAGTCTCCTCCTTTACTGTGTTGATTCCCTTTATATATTTAAATGTTTCTATCATATCCCCCCTGTCTCGTCTTTCCTCCAAACTATACATGTTAAGATCCTTTAACCTTTCCTGGTAAGTTTTATCCCGCAATCCATGAACCAGTTTAGTAGCCCTTCTCTGAACCGGTCTCCAGTACTCTGTACAATACTCCAAGTGAGGTCTCACCAGTGTTTGGTACAATGGCATGAGCACTTCTCTCTTTCTACTGCTAATACCTCTCCCTATACAACCAAGCATTCTGCTAGCATTTCCTGCTGCTCTGTTACATTGTCTGCCTACCTTTAAGTCATCACTAGTGATGTACCGAACGGTTCGCCGGCGAACGGTTCCTGGCGAACATAGCATGTTCGCGTTCGCCACGGCGGGCGAACATATGCGCGGTTCGACCCGCCCCCTATTCGTCATCATTGAGTAAACTTTGACCCTGTACCTCACAGTCAGCAGACACATTCCAGCCAATTAGCAGCACAGCCTCCCTAGCAGACCCTCCCACCTACTGGACAGCATCCATTTTAGATTCATTCTCAAGCTGCATGCTTAGTAAGAGGAGGGAAAGTGTAGCTGCTGTTCATAAGATAGGGAAAAGCATAGCTAGGTTAGGGATAGGGTATGCTTTTTTTTTATTTATTTTTTCTATATGTAATGTAATTGCACTTAGTTGTCCGCCACTGCTGCCAGCTTCTGTGTCAGGCTCACAGTGCATACTGTGCCCATTTCCCCAGTCAGTGCCACCACTTACATCTGGTGTCACAATAGCTTGGATTTAAAAACAAAAAACTTTTTTCACTGTTATAGATTGAATAGCAGTCAGTTGTCCGCCACTGCTGCCAGCTTCTGTGTCAGGCTCACAGTGCATACTGTGCCCATTTCCCCAGTCAGTGCCACCAAATACATCTGGTGTCACAATAGCTTGGATTTAAAAAAAAAAACTTTTTTCACTGTTATAGATTGAATAGCAGACAGTTGT